CGGCGGCGACGACGACGACGCCGTCGACGACGACGGCGGCGGCGACGACCACGACACCGACGACTACTAGACCGACGGCGGCGGCGGCGGTGGCGGCGGCGAAGACGACAACGACACCGACGCGGTAGCGGCGGCGAGGACGACGACGACCACGACAAAGACGACGAAGACACCGACGACGGCGCGCACGACGATAGCACCGACGGCGGCGGCGGCGAAGACGACGACGAAGACGACGATGACGACGACGACGTCAACGACGACGACGGCGCCGACTGCGGTGGCGGTGGCGGCGGCGAAGACGACGACGACGACGATGACAACCATACCGACGGCGGCGGCGGCGGCAGCGGCGACGACGACGACGCCGATGTCGGCGGCGGCGGTGGTGGCGGCGAAGACGACGACGACGACCATCTCTCCGACGGCGTTGGCGGCGGCGGCAGCTTCGGCGGCGGCGACGACGACGACGACGACAACGACGACGACGACGACGCCGACGGTGGCGACGACGACGACGACGTCGACGACGACACCGACGACGACGACGACGATGGTGGTGGTGGCGGTGGCGAAGACGACGACGACGACGACGACGACGACGACGACGACGTCACCGACGGCGACGACGCCGACTGTGGCGGCGGCGGCGGCTGCGACGACGACAACGACGCCGACGACGCCGACGGCGGCGACGACGACGACGTCGACGGCGACACCGACGACGACGACACCGACGACGACGACGACGACGGTGGCGGCGGTGGCGGCGGCGAAAATGACGACGACGACGACGACGTCACCGACGGCGACCACACCGACGGCGACGGCGACGGCGGCGGCGGCGGTGACGACGACGACGACGTCGACGACGACGCCGGTGGCAGTGGCGGCCGTGGCGCCGACGACGCCGATCTCGCCGACGGCGGCGGCGGCGGGGGCGGCAGCGAAGACGTTGACGACGACGTCGACTACGACGACGATGACGACGGCGACACCGACGACGACGACGACGACGACGTCCACACCGACGGCGTCCACGCCGACGGCGTCGGCGGTGGCGGAGACGACGACGACGAAGACGACGACGACGACGTCACCAACGACGACGACACCCACGACGACCACGCCGACGGCGGCGGCGGCGGCGAAGACCACGACGACGACGACGACGACACCGACGACGACACCGCCGACGACCACATCGGTGGCGGTGGCGGCGGCGGTGTCGGTGGCGAAGATGACGGCGACGACGACGACGACGACGACGACGACGACGACGACGACGACCACACCGACGGCGGCGGCGGACGACGACGACGACAGCGTCGACGACGACGACGACGATGACGAGCTCTCTCGGGGGCCTCTTGATGGCAGTTTTGGGGCCTCTCTTGGGAGCCTCGAGGGGGTATCTTGGGGCTTCCTGGGGGTCCCTCTGAGGCCTCTTTGGGCCTCGTTTGGGCTTCTTGGGGGCATCTGGAGCCTCCTGGGAGCCTCCCAGGCCGAGGGCTCGAACTGTCCGTTCGGGTCCCACGTCTGGGCTTCCTCTTGGAGCCGTCTTGGGGGCCTCTTGATCTGGGTGGTCTTGGGGACTTCTTGGGTCGTTTAGGGGCCCTCTTGGGGGCCTCTTGGGCGATCTTGAGGGTCTCGTGGGCTGTCTTGAAGGCGTCGGGAAGCTGTAGGACAATCTGTGATGTTTGCTCCTCGGCCCCCCCCCCTGACCCCCCTGGGACCTCTTCCCCCCCCCGGCGGGGATGGGATCAAAGGGAAGGGGCTTCCCGTCGATTCAGCCACGACGTTGCTCAATGTCGGTTTGGCTGGCGCGCTTAAGGAAGAGGGCCCAGGGAAAGGAGATGGGGGACGACGTAAACGACGATTGACGGAGACGACGAGGAGACGACGGAGACGCAGACGTCGACGCAGACGACGAGGAGGCGACGGAGACGACTCGACGACGAGGGCCCAGGACGGGGGTCGACGGAGACGACGAGGAGACGACGGAGACTGAGACGACGACTGGGCGCCGGCGGTAAACCGTCAACCTTTCTTACCGCCGGGGGACTCGTAGAGCTTCCTGCCATATACTATGTCCAAAGAATTGGCGGAGAACGAATAGTTTTTCGGCCTCCGCTGATAGCGGACTCGAATACAAGACTTAGTTCAGAGCTCTAGGTGCAACAGACGCACGCGACTGATGATGCTGAATCGATTGATGTGCGTACGACTCTGTGGCCCTCCTACATTTCGAGATGAGTGCAGAAAACCGACAGCATCTCTCAGGATGACTCGAATAATACGAATAGGTTCACGGACCTAGCTCGTAGCAGACCGAGTTCAGACCTCTAGATGCAACAGACGCACGCGACTGATGATTTCGAATTGTTTTCTGTAAGTATCAGTTCTGTAGTTCTCCTACAGCTCGAGTTAAGTCCAGAAAACCGACAGCACCTGTCAAGATGACTCGAATAATACGAATAGCTTCGCGGACCTAACTCGGGTAGCAGAGCCAGTTCAGATTTCTAGGTGCAACAGATTAACGCGCCTGATGATTTCGAATTGGTTTCTGTAAGTATCAGTTCTGTAGTTCTCCTACAGCTCGAGTTAAGTCCAGAAAACCGACAGCACCTGTCAAGATGACTCGAATAATACGAATAGTTTCGCGGACCTAGCTCGGGTAGCAGAGCCAGTTCAGACCTCCAGGTGCAACAGATGAACGCGCCTGATGATTCTGGATGGGTTTATGTTAATATCAGCTCTGTAGCTGCCTACAGCTCGAGTTAAGTACAGAAAACCGACAGCGCCTGTCAAGATGACTCGAACAATACGAATAGTTTCGCGGACCTAGCTCGGGTAGCAGAGCCAGTTCAGACCTCCCGATGCAGCAGACGACGCGCCTGATCATTCTAAGAGGGTTTCTGTTAATATCAACTCTGTAGCTGTCCTACAGCTCAAGTTAAGTACAGAAAACCGACAGCGCTTGTCAAGATGACTCGAATAATACGAATAGGTTCGTGGACACAGCTCGAGTAGCAGACCGAGTTCAGACCTCTAGATGCAACAGATGAACGCGCCTGCTGGTTCTCGATGGGTTTCTGTTAATATCAGCTATGTAGCTGTCCTACAGCTCGGGTTAAGTACAGAAAACCGACAGCACCTGTCAAGATGACTCGAATAATACGAATAGTTTTGCAGACCTAGCTCGGGTAGCAGACCGAGTTCAGACCTCTAGATGCAAGAGACGAACGCGCCTGATGATTCTAAGAGGGTTTCTGTTAATATCAGCTCTGTAGCTGTCCTACAGCTCGAATTAAGTACAGAAAACCGTTGCCACGTGTCAAGATGACCCGAAACGGCCGATCCCGCCCCCTGCTTTTTGGCAGTAGTATCTACCCGATCGACCTGATATTAAGACGGCGAGCGGGAATAAGATCAAATATCATAGGAAAAATATATCAGAGCTCTAACGAATGGTTGAATTTCGAGAACAAAATTTTCAACCGACCAAAAGTCACCAAAAGGTCCGTCGAGATTTTTCTTGTCAACTAGCTCTCCAGCGCCCCGGGATTACTCTTAAGCTTCCAGCAACTAGCTAAGGGAAGCTCTACGAGTTACGGGGGCGACGAGGAGACGACGGAAACGACGCGACGACGACGACGGCGACCAATGGAAGAGCGTCTTCCACACTTATTGCACGGGCCAGAGGGTTAGCGGATCCCCCAGAATGGCGATTTCGCTTGAGACATCCCCGCAACAATGAGATGACGGGAAACGTCTTCGAGGTACGAGAAGCGAGCTGGATGTTCTGGCTGAGTCTGCATCATATGTAATAAAATTCTCAATCGAGGGTGGCGCGCTGCACGGGGTTGGGGGTTAGCGGAGTCGTCAGAATGGCGATTTCGCCTGAGACATATTCACAGAAATGGCATCTCCGCGACGTCGCGTTGAACAAAAACGAGCGTCTTGTTCGAGTCTTCTTCGAACAACTCATCGCCGCGAAATTAATTGAGCTGTAAACATGTGCGTTTCGCTTGAAACGTCCGCACGAACATGACATGTCGGCGAAGGTGTTCTATTGTCGCTTATGTTGAGGCCGTCGTTTTTTGCTAGGGACATCCTCAGAAAATACCAGGCAGCACGGCGGACCAGAAAAAAGAGCACGGCAGACCATGTGCATCTCTCTGGGGACATCCTCCAAAACATGAGATGGTGTCAACATTGTCTTGACATCGTTCTTGAAGTGCTTCAAGAGGAAGAAATGAGAGGCCCAACAGGACCTCAATATGGCTCCACGAGCGCCTTGCTGACTGCCGAAAATGGCGATTTCGCGAGGGGCATCTTCAAACAAAACAGCAGCATAGTTTTGAAAGCTGCTGTTCTAGCATCGTCTTGGGATCGCTCGTGAACAGGCTCCCAGACGGCCCAAGTCAGGCTTCTAAAAACAACGATTTTGCCGGGGACATCCTCAAAACAGAAATGTGTGTGACATCGCACTGGCATTTTTTTTTTTTTTTTTAAAAAAAAAAAAAAAAAATGGCGTCGGGGCAGCCCCAAACGAGCCCCAAACGAGGCTCATTCTCACCCCAAGAGCGCCCTCGAGATTCCTCAAATTTAGCATTTCGCTCGAGTCATCCTCACCAACATGAGGTGTTCGCAACGCCGTCTTCTACAACAAAAGACTTTCGCCTGAGGCATCCACCAGAAAATTACAACCGCGAGTTTAACAAACATGTGGACATGGGGATATTGTCTGAGACATCCTCGAAACTATGAGATGCCGAAAGGCTGATTTCAGACCATGCGCGTTGAAACTGAACTTTTCGCTTGGGACATCTTCAGAACATGGGCAGGATCACGGCATCCCAACACGCAGAAGCACGGCAGAACGCGCGAGAGCACGGCAGAACACACAGGAGCACGGCATAACCCAAAGAACACTCCGTAGCCATTTTGGTTCATGCCGTGCTCGGGCGCGCGCCGCGCGCGGGCGCTTGGGCAGAATGGTGCGGGAGGTGCTCGCCGGTGTCGCGGCGGCCCGCTGGGCGGCGGACAACCTGGCGAGACGACTTGAGAAGGGGCTGCGGGAGGCGAAGGAAGTCATCGCCTGCTCCCAGGCGCAGCTGGAGTGCGGTTCGGGCGGCGACGCCCCGGAGGCGGAGGCCCGCCGCCGCGAAGCCATCGCGCGGCCCGCCTTGGTTGCGCGCGTCCGCGGACGCCGCGAAACCAGGGCGCAGCGGCTGCGGCGGCACGTCGCGTGGCATGCCGAGCGCTGCCCGTCGGCAGACGCCCCTCCGCAGGCATGGCGCAGGGCTCAACGCGGGCCGCGCCTCCCAGGAGGGCCCCTTCCTGGTGATGGGCACGGCTGTGTGGCGCAGAGTGCCAGCGTGTGTGAGGTGGAGACCTGCGTCTGCGAAGTGCAGCCGCCGATTGAGTGCGCATTGGATGTCTGCGTGGCCGAAGCGCCAGCGCGGCTGCCCAGCGCCCGAGTGGCGGCCGCGAGGACCCCGCTGCGGTCTAGCGCCCAGCCGCGCCTCCCCGAGTGGGCGCGTTGGGCCGCGCTGCTGGAGGAGCTCGGCGTGGCGCAGCTGGCCGAGCAGGGCTGCAGCGAGGTCGGCGCCGAGAGCACCGAGGCGGAGGAGATCATGGAGCCGCCCCTGGCCGCGGACAGCGTCGACTGCTCCGCGGGCGATGGCCACTCGAGCTCGGAGGGCGCGTTCGTTTCGTTCCTGGACGGCTTCTCGGTGGCGGCGGTGGCGCGTGCGGCCAAGGGGCCGAAGTCGGGAGTTGAGTCGCTCCTGGACTTGGCCGAGGCCCGCGCCCTCGGCGTCCGCCTCGGAGGTGCAGGTTGCGCAGATGCCGAGGAGCACGGCATGGGGCTCGCGGCGGCCTTGGCTGCGCGTGAGGTCGTCGCTGTCTACGGCTGCGAGCCCGAGGAGGATCGCGCCATGGCGGCGCGTTGCTCGGCGTGGCGGCCGAACCGCGCGGCGACTTCCGAGAGCGAGGACAGCTTCGTGGGGGACTCGGAGTTCGAGGATCTCGAGTCTGAGCACTGGCAGTTCCTGCGTGACGAGTTCTCGGACGGCAGCGAGCAGGCCGCGGAGCACGAGGTTGCGCGCGCTGCCTGGCTGGAGCGCACGGGCTCCAGGCGCGAGGACGCTGAAAGCAGCCTCGAGGCCGATGCCCCTGGCGCGCGTGCGCAGGGGCGGCTGGCTGCGGCCGAGGCGGCCCAGGCGGCAATCCTGAGCGGCATCTGGCCGAGGGGCTGCGGTTGCTCGAGGCGGCTCAGGACTTCGGCCAGGCTGAGCGAGGCGTGCAGTTGCATTCTGCACGCAGATCTGGCCTCGCCTCGGTGTGGGGGGGGGGTGGGGTGGGGTGGGGTGGGCGTCTGACGGGGTTCGGCCCTTCCGCCTGCCCAGGCCCGCAGGGGCCGCCCCGCATTGGTTTCGAAAGGGGTTTTCCTTGCCCTTTAGCCTTGAAGGCCCCGTCTTTAACTTTAACTTTAACCCAAAGAACACACGGAAGCACGGCAGAACAAGCAGGCACATAACATTCAGGAACACGGCAGAACACCAAGGAGCACGGCAGGACATACAGGAGCACGGCATCACACAGGAACAGGAGGAGCGCGGCAGAGCACGGCAGGACAGACAGGAGCACGGCAGACCACGCAAAACACATAGGAGCACGGCAGAACAAGCAGGAGCGCGGCAGAACACACAGGAGCACGGCAGTACACACGGGAGCACGGCAGAACACATGGTGCGCGGCAGAATTGACGGCAGGACACGCAGGAGCACGGCAGAACACATAGGAACACTCCGTAGCCATTTTGGCTCAAGCGAGCCTGGCTGGCGGCAGGCTCTCGGGCGCGCGCGCTCGCTAGCGGCCATGGGGCATTCTGGGTGCGGGGCGGCCTGGGCGGCAGCCTCCGCCCGCGCGCTTGCGCGGCGGCTGCGGCGGGAGCATCGGCATGCCATCGGGGAGTCGCGGGCGGCGGCGCTGGCGTGGCGCGCGGCTGCCCTCCGCCGTTCCCTGGAGGCTCACTGGCAGCTCGCCAACCGCGCGGGCGCCCACGCTCCCAAGTTCGGGGAGGCGATCGCGGCCGCGCGGGTCTTCGGGGTCAGGGGCGGCCTCCAGGAGGCGCTGGAGGACCTCGCCTTGGGGAACTGGGCGCGGTGCGCCCCGCCGCCTGGGCAGGCGCGGCTGCGGCCCGTGCCCGAGGCGACGCAGCTGCTTCCTCCTGGTGCGATCCTGGCGATCGACCTCGAGGCGAAGTTGGCTGCAGGGGCTGTGCAGGTTTCGCCCGCGCCGAGCATTGGCGACGGCGAGGGCGACGGCGGCTCGGGCCTTTCTGCCTCCGAGCGGAGCCTGGCGGCGGAGCTCGGGGGCAAGAGGGGGCAGGACGAGCTGGAGAGCGTGGACGCGGTGTGGGAGAGCGACGTCGCTGTCGAGGTCTGCGTCGCCGAGCCCGCCGCGGAGCCCTGCCATCCCGCGGGGCCACGGGCGCGCCGGTGGTCAGGCGCCCTGCCGTGCAGGTCGCGGCGCACGCCGCTGCGGGGCGGGGCCGTGCCGTACGTCCCCATTCAGCTTGCGGAGCTGCGTGGCGACCGCCGAGTCGGTGGTCGAGGCGTTGGGCTGCGGGCCCCTGGCTCCTGCGGACAGGGTGGGCCGTGCGCCGCTGCCTCCCGTCTTGGGACATGCGAGTGCAGAGCGTGGTGCTAGCGGTCGTGCCAGCGTGGACGGCAGTGCTGATGCCAGCGACGTTGGCTCCTCGAGGCCGTCTACTCGTGGGCCAGTCGAGTATGCCGACGACGTCGTGCCGCACCTGGGCGGTTGCTGCGTCGGCAGCGACGACATCGTGGAGGGGCCCGCGGGGGGCTCGGCCAACGAGGACGCCGTCGGCATGGAGCCCCTGGTCGCGGACTCCGTCGGCTGCACGGCGGGCGATGGCCACGCGGGCTCGGAGTGCGGTTTCGTGTCATTCCTGGACGACTTCTCGGTGGCGGCGGTGGCGCGTGCGGCCCAGGGGCCGAAGTCGGGAGTTGAGTCACTCCTGGACTGGGCCGAGGCCCGCGCCCTCGGCGTCCGCCTCGGCAGTGCAGGTTGTCCAGATGCCGAGGAGCGCGCGCGGCTCCTCGATGGTCTCTTGGCCCGTGCGCGTTGCACGACGCGGCCTCAGAGTAGTGCGTGAGGCGGGCAGATGCATTCTGTATGTAGATCTGTTCTCGCCTTGTGGTGCGGCCGCGGTGGAGGCCCAAAGCGGCCCCCGCGGGGAGAGGCGGCCCTAGGCGGCCCCTCTCGGGAGGGCGTGTCTCGGGTGGCGCTCGGTGCCCCTGGAGGCCCCTCGGTTCCTTTTCCTCTCCTCCCCTACGCCTTGAAGGCCCCGTCTTTAACTTTGACTTTTAACACATAGGAGCACGGCAGAACACGCAGGATCAGTCCGTAACCATTCTGGCTCAAGGCCAGCCTCGGGCGCGCGCGGGCGGGCTCGAGCAGATGGCGCGGGCGGGATCGCCGCGTGGCGGTTCCTGGCATTCGGCGCAGCGGCGCTCGCGCGCCGAGCGGACCGCTGCGCGTCGGCGGGCGCAGGATGCATGCGACCGCGGGCTGGAGGCGGCGCGTGCGGAGGCAGAGGCCCTGAGTGCGGAGCTCGACGAGTGCCACTCGTGGCTCGACGCGCTCGGTCGGGCCCTGGGCGACGGGGCGGTGGCCCGGCGGCTTGCCGCAGTCGCTCCGGCCCTTGCTGCCCTGCTGGGGGGGTTCATGCCGACGGTGAGCGTCAAGTTAGGGCGCGACGTCGCGCTTCATTCGGCAGCCGAGGGGCTGGACGTCGTGAGCGCCAGCACGCGCCAGCTGCGCGCTGCGCGCCGAGGGCCTCGGCTGGGCGGGCCCGGGCGGGCTGCGCCGCAGGAGGGCAAGGCGATCGAGGTCGACATCTGCGTCGCCGCGCCTTTGGCGCGCCTTCTGCCGGCGCTGGCTGCGGAGGCCCCCCGGCCTGAGCGCGGGCCAGTGCAGATGCGGGCTGAGGCGGCCCCTTCCTGGCCGCGTCGGCCTGCGGGCTGCTGGGCCATGCTGGGGCCCGCCCGCGTCGACGTGCTCCTCGCTGCCCTCGGCGCCGCGCCGGCTGTCGAGGTCGCGGGCGGCACCGTGTGGCAGGTGACGGACGGCAGCGACCTACCAGCAGGCTCAGGGCACAAGCTGGAGGACGTGGCCGAGTGCACGCGCAAGTACTGCTCGGGTCTGGGCGAGGCGGAGCGCGGGGGCCTGTGCGAACACGCAGGCGGCACCAAGTGTCTGGCGACGGGAAGCCGCGGTTTGCTAGCAGGCTCCGTGGGCAATGCTGAGGCGGACCTCGAGGAGGAGGAGTTCGTCTCGGATGGCAGCGAGCGCGGCTCGGCCCTGGGAGAGGCGGAGCACGGGGGCACGGCAATGCACGGCAGCGACGACGGCTTCGATGACGGCTACCCTGAAGCGGAGCAGGACTTCGACTTTCATGCCCGCATGAGGGCCAGCGACGAAGCTTGGCAGGCTGCCCTGGCAGCCCGACTGAGGGCCAGGGATGAAGCCTGGGAGGCCAGCCTCGAGGAGTCGATCGAGGTGGAGCCCCAGGATTTCTCTGAGTCGGGAGATCATTCATCGCCTCATCTTGGAATGGAGATTGGGATCGTGAGTGTTCAGTGAGTGATGCCTCCTGCATTTGAATGTGCACGTCGTGTATTTGCAATGCAGTCGAGCTTGGGTTGTGATCCAGTGTCGCTTCTGTTCTCGCAGTGCTTGCATGATTGGCTTGGGCGGGTTGGGGGCCAGGGCCAGTGGCTTTGCCGTCCGCCTTCCCTGGCCCGTGTTGAGAGGCGGCCCTAGGTGGCCCCTCTTGGGAGGGCGTGTCTCGGGTGGCGCTGGAGGCCCCTGGAGGCCCCTCGGTCATTTTTTCCTGCCTTTAAGGCCCCTCCAACCAACCAACCAACCAACGCGCGGGATCGGGGGGGGCACGGCCGAGCACACAGAGTACATAGGAGCACGGCAGAACACACAGGAGCACGGCAGAACACGCAGGAGCACGGCAGAACACAGAGGCACACGCACACAGGCATTCGCACACGCACACGCACACAGACACATAATCACCCGCACACACAGACACACACAGACACACACACGCACACACGCACACACAGAGAGGCAACAGACGTTCACGCAGATCGCAGGAGCGCGGCAGAGCAGCGCGGCATAACACAGCAGCGCCGCAGACCACCACGCACGGACACACATGCACATATTCCACGCACTCACGCGCACGCGCAAACGTACGCACGCCACGACATATCTGCGCGGCAGACCAACAACATATCATAATTCATTCACCGAGTGGACAAAAGCGACGCTTCCCGTTCTTGTCTGGTCTGATTTGCATGACATAACTTGTATCACGCATATTGTAGTACATAGTGCGCACCACGGAACTTGCACCACACAGCTTGTAGCAAATAGGTTGCACATTGCCAGCACGACACATATGCAACTTACACTTTCCCATTCTACATTCCTTGTCCTCTGAATATTTGAAACTGGTTCCCCTCCGAAGCTGGGCTCATTCGCTCACCTCCGTGTAGCGCGTGTTGTTCGTACGTACGCGCTAATGCACCACAGTTTTTGTTGATTCTCTCTCCCTCTCGCTATCTGTCTCTCTCTATCTATACTTACACATTCGCCAGTCAAACAGATGTCTAGATGTACATAATATTGTGCTTAGCTGTGCACTCCACCTTATCCAACGCCAGCCAGGCGAGTATCGCTTCCCCCCTGACCTCGTGCCAAGGATGCGGTCGGGCACGGTCTGGGGTTGCCGGCCCAGTGCCCTTCGCCCCGAGAGGTGGGGGCGTGCTATCGTCTCAACGAGGAGCACGGCCACTGCCGTCACGCTGCGGAGGAGCCCCCCCCCTCTCGAGCTGACAGGGGCGATGCTGTGTCGGTGTCGAAAAAGCGAGTTGCGTGTCGAGTTGGGTGCGAGGCGGAGTGGAGGGATGAGTCTGGGAGGATGGAGGGTGGAAAAGAGGAGGAGGAGGGGCAACGAGTTAGGCCAGTTCATGTAATGATAGTACAGTGTGCGAGGGTAGGGTCCGATCGAACCGACTCGAAAGCCAGCCATGTTTTTATGGAGTGTCGGCTAATGGGATATGGACGACAATGAAGGAGAACGAGGACGTAGGAGGAGGGGACGAATGCGTTGGTGTTTGCATGGGGGTGAGGACGTGCGGGAACGAGGAGCAGGGAGGATATACATCACCCAGGCCAAGGCAGGGCATGCCCCCCCACGCCCCTGGGAACACCGACGCCTCAACTTCTGGTAGCAGCCCTGCCTCTCATCCCAGGCCTCTTTCGGGGACTCTCCTGCCACGCCCTTCGCTCTCCGGGAAGCCTGCTCGGCGCCACATTGGAATCGGGGGAGTTTTCGGGATCCTCCGTGGCCCCCGTTCCTTAAGAAGCCGCCTAGTGGCTGGAATGTTCGCAGACACCGAGCAAACCGGAAGCATATTTGGCCACATTCATCGAGGAGTCGTCGGCCGTTTCAGGGCTGCCCATGGCGCCCAAGCAATCGTGGGCCCTTCGAGCGGATGGGAGCGTCGACCTACGCCAGCCATTTGTTCATATGCTGGGGCCAGCATTGACTCCTGGCTTATGGCGCACTTGATTCGAGCCCTTGTTGGCTCTCCTTGCACGATGTGGTATGGTGCTGCTAAGATGGGCACCTTCTCGCCTTGACACGTTCTTCCCGCTTGCGGTGCCCCATGCCCCCCCTTCGCAAGGAAGGGCCCCGTTGCCTGCCAGCGGGGCACACCTAACTAGTTATACGACGGTCTGGGTGTGTTCTTATAGCTTCGGAGAGCTCCAACCAATACACCACCACCAGCCCTGGCCAGGCCCATCCTGGGCCCTGGACTGGTGTACAGGCCATCCTGGCCTAGGCCAGGAGGTCTAGTCCAGGGCCCAGAATGGGCCTGGCCAGGACTGGTGGTGGTGTATTGTTGGCGTCCCTCCGATAGCTTCTGGTGCCCCAGACCCCACCCCTCGCAAGGACCAGCCTCTTGGCTCGCCGGCGGAACCGCAAGCCGCGGCAGCGCCCCCAGGGCGGCCCCAGGGGCTGCGACAGCGACAACGAGTCGGGCAGCGAGGCGGCGGGCAGCCAGGTCCTTCTCCTTCCTTCGCCTCCACCTCGGCGGCGCCGTCGCCACAATCGTGGTTATCTCCCCAGCATACCCCGTCTTCTCGTCCATCGAAATCCGCGCGGAGCGCCTCAAGTTTATGTTTGTCCGTTTGTTATTATTCTTCTTCTAGTCCAGGGGCAGGATGCTGCACTACTCAATATCATAGGTTCAATCGCCCGTCGCTTCAGGCTTGTTTCGCACCCAGGGGGGAGGCGGGGCCCCCCCAGGTCTGGAGCGAGACGGAGGTCGCGAGCTTCCTGGAGGCGTCTGCGGAGGATACCCCGTACAGCGATCGGTTCCAGAGGGCGCTCCTGCAGTCCGGTCTCTTGCACGTCAAGCACAGGTAATCCGATGGAGAAACGGCCACGCTGTGATAGATACTCCGCTGTGGCCCCGAGTCTTCTGTGCGCATCGCAGCGCGCTGCACTTCGTATACTCGGCGATTCCTTTAGCAGTGCCCGGTTTGTGCAACATTGTTGTTGCCACGAAGCTTGAAACTCTGTCGAGCGATGGGGATATTTTCGTAGACGAGGTGAGTGCCCCCTCCACTTCGTAAGTTAGCGAACGAGCGGCGGGAGGTGGGGAAAGTTGGCTCTCAAGCTTAGCAAAGGGGTGTGGCAAGGAGGCTTTCGAAGGTCCCTCGAAGCTGTTTGAGTTCCAAAGAGGGGCTAACAACATGTACACCCCTCAATCCTTGATCTTCTTCCTCACCCCTGGCCGCAAGACCTTGCCAATACTTTTCTTTCCCGAGTACGATCGCACTGATGCTTTGACGATCAACTCGTCTGTCCTCGAGCCTCGTGGAATATCGAACGCCCTGCGACCCCTCGGCCTGCTCCCGTGGCATGGAGAGTGCGACTGAGGCGGTATAGGTGTGTGGCTCGCGGGGTAGCGTTCCTTGACCTCGACAGTTTGCGGCGGGACCGCAGGTGGCAGAGGCCTTCAGTGCAGGAGCTCTTCCTGGGCTCCACTGTTGCAAAGCTGCTGTTAAGAACGGACGAAAAGAGCAGGCATCTGTTCGGGGGCGTTGTGTATGTACCCACTGGGCTTGGGAGTGGTTATAATGTCACAGAGGCTCCCTGAATGCGACGCTACGTAATAGCAGCTGCGAGGTGCGCAGGAGACGCCTCGATCTACGTTCAAGTTCACTCTTGCCAGCAGTGGCCTTCCAGGTCGTCAAGATAGCCTCTCATCACGTTCTTAGGACCCCTCAAGGCCTTTATGATGCCCCGTTCCCAGGGCCCAGCATGACCACCACGGATGTCCCAAAACTTCTAAAGGCTTCTTTGAGTTTTTTTCCCAGAAGCCTGTTCATTTTGGACTCAAAGGTGCCACTTCAGAGTGTTCAAGGCCTCCTGGGATTCCCCAGGCACCTCCGAAGCCTTACTATGGACCCAAGGGTGCAAGGTCCTCGCCAGGACATCCCGAAGGAGGAGCGGCAGAAAGAAGCGGATCAGGAAGAGAAGGGGAAGCATGGGAGGGGAAGGAAGAGGAGGAGGAGGAGGAGAAGGATGAGGAGGACGAGCCCACCCCGTCAGTCCATCCGATGGTGTTCAAGAGTTTCTTACTTCAGCCAGCGCTCGGCGTGCAGAGTGCGAGCCATGGGGGGGAGCGTCTGGAGGCCACCAGTTTCCCGAGATCGCTGGCCTTTCCAGGAGCACTCATCTCCCAAGCCCCGTCGCCTCACGTTGTCGCTTCTTGGCCTTTAGGTGGCGCTCCCCGTGGGCACGATCCGCGTGACGGGGTGTGCTGCAATGGGAGGGGGGGGGGGGCGCAGTGCGAACTTTGCCTTTGGGGCCGTAGGTGGAGCTCCATGTGAGCCACGATCCGTGTAAGAGGTGGGCCTGTCTGTCTCTTCTCCTGCGCGTTGTCGCCTCTGGGCTTTCCGTCTTGTTCCCACTCGTCCGCCTTTCTCTGTCCGCCCGGGGGGGAGCGTCTGGGGGCCATCAGTTCCCAATATCGTTGGCCTTTTGAGGAGCACTCATCTCCCAAGCCCCGTCGCCTCCTTGTCTCTTCTCCTTCGCGCAGTCGCCCCTGGGCTTTCCGTCGTGTTCGATTTCGTCCTCCTTTCTTTGTCCTATCTGCCTGTGCTCGTGTATCTGGTGCAGCTTCGGCAGCAAGGGGTAGATACATATTCTGACTGTTTTATTCGTTCGGTTGGCCTGGCATTTCCCCTCGAACTCGTCGCCGGCAGCTCGAGGAAATTACCTCGAGCAGACATCTCGCAAGCCCCACGGGGGGGGCTCGAACTCTGAGAGGTCGCTGCTCGAGCGCTCCGTCCTGAGCATGGTCACGATCTTCGTGCTCCTGCTGTGGCTCTTCCACCTGCGTCGGCCTCTGCGCGCATCCCCTGCGGCCTGTGTATAGCTCCGGCGCGCTCGACCTCCACCGTGCGGTCGTGCCTCGGCCACCCCGAGACGGTGCACTCGGAGGAGGGCGAGTCGAGACAGCGGTCATTGGCGTTTCGGTGGGCCCCCTCGTCGCCACGCTTGGACGCAGCGTTCGGTGGGCCCCCTCGTCGCCCTCGGTGGGCCCCCTCGTCACCCTCGGTGGGCCCCCTCGTTCGGTAATTGGCGTTCGGTGGGCCCCCTCGTCGCCCTCGGTGGGCCACCGGTGCGTGTGGACCCTGGGAGGGCTTTGTGGGGACCGATTTTGAACCGCCGTTGTCACAACTGGCCCTGCTTCGGGTGGGGCTGCGATCGGGATAGATCGTCCCAGAGCATTCCAGAGCGCTCGCAGAGCATTCCAGAGAGCTCTGAGATGGCCGCGGCGCTCGAGACATCCTCCAGAACCGCCGGATCGCAGAGATCCCCGATTTGTCCTGGTCGGATTCTGTCGCTGTCCTGGCTTCGTCTTGCTGCTCCGATAAACGTGGACAGTGGCAGCCACTGGCCAGAGGTGACCACGGGGAGGGCCGGGGGCGCGACCGACGCCTGCCGGGGGCCGGGCGGGTGGCAATGGGGAGCGGCTTACATGGGGGGTGAAGCCCATTCACCTCCCAGTTAGGTCACCCCCCGTTGCCAACCCCCCGAGGGTGGGGGCGGTTGCGATGTTGCGGTCGGGCTCTCATGCGACGGTGCGACGTTGGTGTGCGCTGTGGCGCGTCGCGGGCCCGAGGCGGTGGCTCTCGAAGGCGTCGCTCTTCCAAGTCTACGCGGGCAGGACGCCCGCCCAGATCTTCTCGGCCTACGGGGCACCCGGGACTTGGCGGCGCTTCGTGTTTCTGGTGCTCGGCCTAGCCGGGCCCGGTTGCCTATCTTGGGTGGTCACGCTGCATCTTCGGGGGGCATCGCTCGTCCCCCCAGCTGGTGTCTTCTCTTGTGCTCGCCGCGGGCTCAATGCGGACTCGACGCGGCTTTGGCGTGGATTCGATGCGGAGCCGACGCAGATTCGACACGGATCCGACGCGTCCGACATGGATTCGACACACATATTCGACGCGGAGAGGGCCTCGACGGGGCAGCCAAGGTCCCCGAGGATGCAACATAATATTTGGGGGCGGGTGGGCGGTTTCAAAGGAGGAAAGATCTACCGATACTGCTGCTCGTCCTCGAGAGTCCTCGCCACCACGGCTGGATTCTCTTCAAAGTACCACGGCTGTCAGGACGCACACCAGGAGAGGTCCTTGGAGTACCAGTATCGATACTTCTTTGTCCCCACAAGGTTGATGAGTGGAGACACGCTGGCGCTCGAAGGTCCTATTGCGTCGTGTTGCGCGGCCTCTCCAGGAACATGCAGTCACCGCTGGCCGCCGTCCTTGGATACCAACCTGTCGCATCTGGCGCATTGTTGGGGCCATCTTGGTGGTGCTGGGGGGCATGTTGGACCGTTTTGGGGGTTCTTGGGTGCAAGTGTCGGAAATGAGGTGTGCACGTGTATCTTTCTGCGTCGCATGCTTGTTTTCTACAGGGCTGGGAGGGACTGGGAGGGGCTGGATAATAGCGCGTTCATGTTCCTGGGAATTGAGCCCTAGACCTTCGCCGCATTAGACCTTCGCTTTAACCACTGAGCCATCGAAGACCCTAGCTCCATTCCAAGTTTCCCAAAACTCAGCCCGTGGAATCTCCTTGTAGCTGGAGGTCTCGTGCTCAATCCCCAAAGTCTGAACACGGCCTTTGCTCGGAGCCTTTTTAGGTCTTTGCTTCAACCACTGACCCATAGAGGACCCGTGCGAAATGTCAAGGGCGCACAAATAGAGCCCTCGGCATTCCCAGGCAGTTGCCAACAGGTTAAGTAGCAAGCTAGCACGGCGCTTTCCGGCGATGAGTTCCAAGGGCGCGAGAATCGAGGCCGCGGAGCTCCTCGGCTATTTCCAAAGGGTCGAATGGCGCGCTCGCTCGGCACTTTTCCAGCGATGGCCCAACAATCCAGCCCGCGGAATTCCCGGGCAGCTTCCAAAGGGTCGAATGGCGCGCTCGCTCGGCGCCCGCTCGCCGCTTTCCAGCGACAAGCTCCGAGGGTGAACAACACTGAGCCCGCGGAGCTTCTGGGCAGCTTCCCGAGGGTCGAGTGGCGCGTTCGCTCGGCGCCTCCTCGGCGATGAACCCCAACGGTGCGAGAAGCAAGCCCGCGGAAGGTCCGCGCGCTTGTTCGGCGCTTCCCCAGCGATGCAGTCAGAAAGCAGGAAAATCGTGCCTTCGGAATTTCGGCGCAGCTTCCAAGTAGTCGCGTGGCGCTCGCTTGCGGGAAGTCCTTGGAAGAGACTTAGCAGTGAGGACTGCTACTAGTCTTAGTAGGGAGCGATGCTGAGAGTCCGGGTAGGGAGTCCTAGCTAGAGACCCATGAGTGGTGCGTGGGGAGGGGCCTCACTTTGAGAGTTTCGGTTAAGTGCTCAGCTATTGTTTCTAGTAGGGCGTCCTGCTGAAGAGGTCGAGCGGGGAGTGCGATTCAGACTCTTCGTAAGAAGTCGCATTAAGAGTCCTAGTCGGGAATGTATCCCGGAATGCCAGTCGCGAGTCTTGCTAGGAGTCTCGGTATGGGTCTCGCTAAGAATCCTTGCTCGGAGCCCCACTATAAGGAAGAGGCCCACTAAAAGTACTACTATGGAGTTCCACGAAGTCACTAAGAGTCCTAGTGGGGGGTCATACCACGAGAGTATAAGTATGGATTTCGATCAAAAAGGTCCTGACACGGATCCCTGCGATGGTTCATTGTGGTGGGTCTGGATAGAAGCCGGAAAGGGAAGTCCGACCAGGGAGTCTTGCTGAGAGTCCGATCAGGGAGTCGCGCCAAGATGTCCAGCAGGGAACTCTACCAAGGGTTCGGGGGGACTTTCGTTCGAGTGTTAGAAGTGCGTCCTAATGAGGGCCCACGTAGGAGGTCAGATGAAGTATCCTCGCGATGGAATCTTATGAAAAGTCCTGCGTCCTAGCATGGCGTCCGACCGATTTAAGATATAATTTGGGAGTCAACGATAACAACGATAACAACGATCAACGATAACAACGATAACAACGATAACAACGATAACAACGATCGTTGTTATCGTTGTGATCGTTGTTATCGTTGAACCCCTGTGGGGAGCCCTATGGTCAGGGGACTCTTTTGCCTGCGAGTGTTCTGACGGACCGCGAGTGGGAGGAGGAGGAGGAGGAGGAGGAGGAGGAGGAGGAGGAGGAGGAGGAGGAGGAGGAGGAGGAGGAGGAGGAAGAGGAGGAAGAGGAGGAAGAGGAGGCGGAGGCGGCGTGGCCGGGGCGCGGAGCGCCCCCGCCGCCCTTTCAGACGACAGCCCGCCCTTTTCCTCGGCAGCACCTGCTGGGGCGACCTTCCCTCGCGGCAACTCGGCGCAGGGGCGGAGGAGGAGGAGGAGGAGGCGGAGGAGGAGGAGAAGGAGGAGGCGGAGGAGGAGGAGGAGAAGGAGGAGGAGGAGGAGGCGGAGGAGGAGGAGGCGGAGGAGGAGGCGGAGGAGGCGGAGGAGGAGGCGGAGGAGGAGGAGGCGGAGGAGGAGGCGGAGAAGGCACAGGCGGAGGAGGAGGCAATTCGGCATCGCAGGGGCCCGCGCCGCGGGCGGCTGGAACCGCTGCCCCTTGCAAGAGTTGGGCGCCGGCGCCCGCCCTTGTCGACGGCGCAACCTGCTGGGGCCGCTTTCCGGTGTGAGAATGCTGCGCTGGGGCCCGCGCCGCGGGCGGCTGGAACCGCTGGGTGCCCGCTGGAACCCGCCCTTCCTGATGGCATAATCTGGGGCCGCGCCCCGTTGAGGGTCTCCACGTTACGAGAAAAAACGCCTCGCTCTCAAACAGGTGCAGCGCTTGCGCGCGCGCGAGCGCGAGTCCGAGCCGAAGCCCAACCCCGACCCCAAGCGCGAGTGCGAGCTGGAGACTGAGCCCGAGCCTAAGCCTCATCCCGAGCGCACGCGCGCGCGCCCCTCCGGCATGAGAACGCGCGGTCGACGACTTTACGACCAACCATTCGGTTAATCTTTTGCTGGTGAATGTTTCGACGGACTGCAGGAGGGTTCGCGGCTGGAGCACGGGTCGCCCTTGCTGCCCTTTCAGCTGACAGCCCGCCATTCTAGTCGGCGCCATCTGCTGGGGCGATCTTCGCATGTCGAAAGTTGTCTCTGGAACCTTCCCCGCGGGCTGCTGGAACCGCTGCCCCTCCGTGAAGATGGGGGGCGCTGGAACCCCCTTCTTGGCGGCATAATTTGCCGGGGCCATTCTCCCTCGCGAGACCTCGGTGCTGGAGTCCGTGCCGTTGGCTGCTGGAACAGCTTCCCCCTGTGAGCTCTGGGCGCTGGCACCCGCCCGTCTTGACGGCGTCATATGCTGGAATCTGTTTCCCTCGCAAGAATTTGGCGCGGGAGCCGCGCCCTGACTGCCCAGTTAGGTGAATATGTTGCTTGTGAATGTTTCGACGGGCTGTGAGAGGGTTGGCGGCCGGTGCGCGGATCGCCCTTGCTGCCCTTTCAGCTGACCGCCCGCCCTCGTGTTTGGCATTATCTGCTGGAACGATCTCCCCATGTCGAAAGCGGGCGCTGGAACCCGCTCCGCGGGCTGCCGGAACCACTGCCCCCCCGTGGAGATCGGGCGCTGGAGCCCGCATTTCTTGGCGGCATAGTTTGCTGGGGTTATTTTCTCTCGCGGAACCTCGGCGACGGAGCCCGCGCCGCGGGCTGCTGCTGGAACAACTGCCCCTTGTGAACTCCGGGCGCTAGAATCCGCCCGTCTCGACGGCAGAACATGCTTAAACCCGCCTCCCTCGCAAGAATTTGGCGCGGGAGCCGCGCCCTGACTGCCCAGTTATGTGAATATGTTGCCGGTGAGTGTTTTGACGGGCTGCAGGAGGATTCGCGGCTGGTCAGCTGACGGCCCGCCCTTCTAGTCGGCGCCAGCTGCTAAGGCGATGTTCGCGCGTCGAGAGTTGTCTCTTGAACCCGCTCCGCGGGCTGCTGGAACCATTGCCCCCCGCGAAGACGCTGGGCGCTGGAGCCCGCCCTTCTGCCCCCTGTGAACTCTGGATGCTGGAGTTCGCCCCTTTTGGTGGAATAACCTGCTGGGGTCGCTTTCCCCTGCGAGAATTGGGCGCTGGAGCCGCGCCCCCGCGCGGGGCTTCAAAGTGCGCGTCAGGTCGCGGGGGGGGGGATGGGGCCAAGGGCGGGCGCCCTGCGCGGGAGTCGCGCCTCGCGCGCGCGCGCGCGCCAGCACGGGCGCGAGCGCGAGCCCGAACCCGAGCTCGACCCCAACCGCAACCCCGAGCGCGAATTGGAGTCCTGGCCCGAGCCCGAACCTCATCCCGAGCGCGCGCGCGCGCGCGTTCGCGCGCCCTTCCTGCGTGCTCACGCGCGGTCAAGAAAAATAGCACCAACAATATTCACCTGGCTGTAGCAAGGGTCCTCGCAGGGAGTCTTGCCGACCCAATGCAGATTTCAACTTGCATGCGCTCGTCTGGAACGCGCGGGCACCTGCGTCCCGAGGAAGTCGCGGGCTGCTTGGAACAGGGTCGAACGGCGCGCTCGCCCCGTGCGCTTCCGGCGAAAAGCTTCCAGGGATCGATCGTTGAGCCCGCGGAGTGTCCCAGCAGCTTCCAAGGGCCTGAGTGGCGCGCTCGCCCCGTGCGTTCCCGGCGAAAAGCTCCCAGGGATCAATCGTTGAGCCCGCGGAGTGTCCCGGCAGCTTCCAAGGGGGTCGAGTGGCGCGCTCGGCCCGTGCGTTTCGGGCGAAAAGCTTCCAGGGATCGATCGTTGAGCCCGCGGAGTGTCCTGGCAGCTTCCAAGGGGGTCGAGTGGCGCGCTCGCCCCGTGCGTTCCCGGCGAAAGGCTCCCAGGGATCAATCGTTGAGCCCGCGGAGTGTCCCAGCAGCTTCCAAGGGGGTCGAGTGGCGCGCTCGGCCCGTGCGTTTCCGGCGAAAAGCTTCCAGGGATCGATCGTTGAGCCCGCGGAGTGTCCTGGCAGCTTCCAAGGGGGTCGAGTGGCGCGCTCGGCCCGTGCGTTCCCGGCGAAAAGCTCCCAGGGATCAATCGTTGAGCCCGCGGAGTGCCCCGGCAGCAAGGGGGTCGAGTGGCGCGCTCGGCCCGTGCGTTTCCGGCGAAAAGCTTCCAGGGATCGATCGTTGAGCCCGCGGAGTGTCCTGGCAGCTTCCAAGGGGGTCGAGTGGCGCGCTCGCCCCATGCGTTCCCGGCGAAAAGCTCCCAGGGATCGATCGTTGAGCCCGCGGAGTGTCCCGGCAGCTTCCAAGGGGGTCGAGTGGCGCGCTCGCCCCGTGCAATTCCCCGGCGATGAGTTCCAAGGGCGCGAGACATCCCCCCGTTTCATTTTCTGCGCATTTCCCAGGGGGTCGAATGGCGCGCTCGCTCGGCGCTTCCCCCAGCCATAAAAAAAGTCCAAGGGCGCGAAAAGCGAGCCCGCGGAAGCGTCGGTCAGTTTCCGGAATGGTGGAAGGGCGCGCTCGTTCGGTGCTCTTCCAACGATGAAGTCCAGGGGCTCGCAAATTGAGCCAGCGGGATTTCCATGCAATTTCCAGAAGGGTGCAGCAGCGATGACGCGAAAATCCAGCCCGCGGAATTCCCTGGCAGCTTCCAGAGCGCGCTCGCTCGGCGCTTACCCAGCGATGAATTCTAAGGGGTAAGGAATCGAGCCCGTGGAATTTACGAGCTCACGGCGCCCGCGCTGCTCCCGCGCGGCTCCGACGCGGTTGCCCCCGCACGGGCGGCCTTCAAACGATTGAATGGCGCGCGCGTCCGGCGCTTCCCCAGCGTGTTTGAAAATGGAGCCCGCGGAACTTACAGGGTGCATCCAATGAGGCGAATGGCGCGCTCGCTCTGCGCTTCCCCAGCGGTAGATTCCGAGGGATCGTGAGTCGAGTCTGTTCGATTTACGAGCTCGCGGCTCTTCCAGGGGCACATAATGCCCCTGCGCGGCCGCCACCAGCCTTCATGTGGGCAGACTTTTGCATGTGGGTTCCAACCCTCAGCTTCTTGGGCGCTCGCCCCAACCACTAACTAAGCTATAGAGGTCCTGGAATATCAAAGAAAGCATTCAAGTTACAAACATGTTTCAGCACTTCATGTCTTCACGTGCACGAGAGGCCCATGCAGGCGAGTCTTGAGGCGAAACCTCGTTCCAAACCCTCGCGTGTCAGGCTGCGCTTTTAGGCTTCAAGGGGTATGCCACCACGCCGCCGCTGCACACCGCCACGAAGACCACACGCTCACGAGCCACACCTCAGGAAACCATCGCCCCCCCGGGGGATCTCAAGATAACAGCACTGCCCTCCAGGAGAGGAAGGATACCAATACCGCTGTTCTTCCTAGAAGATCTTCGTCGCCACGGGTGGATTCTCTTCCAGAGGATGGCCCTAACGCGCCCTAAGACTGCTCATTGGAGTACAGTCGGGACGCTGAAGAAGGAACCCTTTTGATTCGGGAGGGGTTCCGTGTTCTTTAGCTGTTTCACAGTTTGCCTTAGGTTGTCCTTGGGTTTTCGATGGGCAATCGAAGTTTCACTTGTGGACAAAAGGGGCCTCGTTCTTGATTTGGGGTTTCAGAGTCAACGCCCAAACTGTAGCGGTAGCGGTATTCTTTGTCCCCCCAAGGCCGATGCGGAGACACGTCGGCTGTCGAGGGCCCGAGTGCGTCGTGATGCGCGGCCTCCCCGGGGACATGCAGCCACCGCTGGCCGCCGTCCCTGGGGACAAGCCAGGCAGTCATTCGGCGCAATGCTGGGGCCATCTTTGTGTTGCAGGGGTGCACGTTGGGCAGTCTAGGGGATTTCTGGGTGCATGTCGGAGACGAGAGGTGAGACATGACAATGCGCACGGGAACCAACGATGTTGTTGACGATTGGTTCCCGGGCAGATCCGTGTGGCCATCGTGGAGTCTCTGGTTGCCCATCGGGGACATCGAGGCGCCATGCTAGAGCTCCTGGGGCACTGCCGGGGCCAGCTTTGCCTGTCTTGGGCTCTCTTCGGGAGGACCAGCTTGGGCCATCTTGAGTAAGTATTGGGGGCCGTGAGGGCCATGTGGCCTGGCTTGGAGGGTTCCACTCGCAGAGGTAGACCCAGGCAGCAATGGGCTCATTCCGTGTACAAGCTGGATCATGTGAGTGCATGAAGCTTTTTGTGTCCACCCTCTCCCCATCCTCCCTCTCGCCCCCTTCTCTCCCCCTTCCCCCCACTTGGCGCTCCCGACGCGGTCCTGGCAACTTCTTGACCGCGCTCGCTGCCCACGCGTCCTTCATGGATGCACGGCTTTCGCATCGTAACTGAAGGGCCCAAAGATTCGTCGATGAATTTGTCGGGTGACACCCCCTCCGGTCTTCACCCCACAACCATTATTTCGAGCTTGGTGGTGGATCGTGGGAGAGAGGGACAGCCAATTTCTGACGCTGGGCGTATCTTGGACGCTCCAACGCCTCGCGAACCCCCCCCCCCTTCAGGTCCAGGGTAATTAGGGGGTAGGGAGATGGGCAAACCCTTCCCGGAAGGGGTTGGAAGAGAATCCGCTCTAGACCACCTACACCCAGAGGGCTGGTGTGATCATCTAACTCGCGATCTTACCCCGGGCAAGCGGTGGTCGGCCGAGTCGAAAACTTGGGCATCTTGAAGTTGAAGTTTGCTCGAGGCTACCTGCATACGGCAGGAGGACTTTGGGTATCCAAGGACATCGGGCTTGAGACTTCCAAGGGGCAGTTTCGTGCAACGGCCGCCCCTGCGGTTGCCAGTGCTGGCTGTTAACGCGTTTGCTGGGGAGCGCGTCAAGGAGGTTCAAAGGAAATGCGGCACTGAGCATCGCAAATTTATCCTCCTCCTTCCCTTCCCCACGCCCTCCCATCCTGTCCCTCGCCCCGCTGACATCCTCACCTTCCGCTCCCCACCCACCCCCTTGCTCTCCCTCATTTCTGCTACTCCCCTGGTGGTCCCTTGCAATTGTTCTACAAACCGCGCTTGCAATCAGAAGTTAACTTGTTGGTTGATCTGTACGGGAGTGGCCCTCTGTGGCGCAGTCGGCCGTTCCCGGACGGTGCGCCAATTGTGTGTTCGTGCCTTGTGCTTGCTCCTCTGCGTCGCAGTATGACATTCCCGATCGATGCCCAATGGCTCGTGCCTTCTACGCTGCTGCCCTGTGCTTGGCCCTCCACGTCGCAGTCGGCCGCTCCCGGTCGGTGCCCTTTGGTTGGTGCCTTTCTGCGTTGGTGCCATGTGGTTTGCCTACCCTCGCTGTCCGCCTTTCCTCGCCGGTGCCCTGTCGCCTGTTGCTCGTGCCCCATGACTCCTTGCCTGCCCGTGTAGCTCCCAAAGGGGCCGCGGTCGACCGTTCCCGTCGGTGGCCTGTGCCCCACGGCTCCCCGCCCATGCGCTCCCACCCCGCGGCTTGTTCTGCGCGGATGCCGTGCTCCGCACATCGCGTTCAGCATCTTCCCTCCCCCGCAAATTGAGCCTCGCGCCCACCACAGGCTGCATCCCGCACGCTGCACCCCGTCTGATCTCTGCTCTCAAGAATGTGAGACACTGCCCCGAGGTGCTGGAGCTGGGGCTCCTGTGGATCTCCGCCGACAGACTCTACGCATGCTGCAGTCTGCTGAACGTCGCAGGCCTGTCGCTCAAGCAGCGGTGCGCGGCACTGGTATTCGCAGGCCCGTGGGGATCCAGCGATCGTTGCTTGTTTGCCCTCTATATCTATTTGTTTTCCTCTGTCTCTCTCTCTCTCTCTGTATCTCTCTCTCTCTTGTTCTCTCTCTCTCTCTACATATATCCCTCCCCTCTCTCTCTTTCTCCCTTACCTCGTTATTCCTCTTGTTGTTTGTTATTTTCTTTTTGTTGTTTCTCTCTCTCCTTCTCTCTCTCTGTTTGTTTCTCTCTCTCTTTCTCCCTCTCTCTCACTCTCTCTCGTTCCTTACATAGATATCTGTAAATATAGATGGCTCACTTTTCCAATGCCTCCCTCTCTCTGTCCCCTCCCTCTCTCTCTCTCTCTCTCTCTCTCTTCCGCACTCACACGCACACACACACACACACACGCGCACTCTATAAGTTTCCTCCTTGTTCATTTTGTTGTTTCTCTCTCTCTCTCTCTCTATTGCTCTCTTTTGGCTTGAGCCAAAATGGCTCAAGCCATTTTGACTCAAACCATTTTGGCTCAAGCAATTTTGGCTCAAGCAATTGAATTGCCCTCTTTAGCTACATTCACTTCGCACCCTGATTCATAACCCATCTGTTCTGTTTGCCGGGAGTGTGCACAGGATAGTTGGGAGCATGGCAAAACGCGGGGGATCAGCGACAGGATCGACACCAGACAACAAGGAAGGACGACAGAGTAAAGACAGTATGGCGGCTATGATCGAAGATGAGGAAGTGGGAGATAAGTATCTGAGCACAGCCCCTGATTATTTCAAAGAGTTCGCCAAAATCCAAGCGAAGCAATTCGAAACTCTAAAAACAGAAATGGCTGGCATCAAGGACCTCATAGACCAGGCGAGGATCGAGGCAGAGGACGCCAGGAGGGCAGCGGAGGAGGCTCAGGAGAAGATGGAGGATGTGGAAATGGAGGTGGAGGCGATTCGGAATGACCTTGAGGAGATGTACCTAACCAAATCCGAGATCGAGAAGATGCTTGAAGACAAACTCCAGGAAGTGAAAGACACCATGAAGCACAGCAGTAGATCTTCCAGGAGTGGCGCATGGCAACGAAAGGGAGAGGAGGGTGGCGGACATGCAGACCAGGAGAAGGAACGACGTATTAAGCAGGTGGTTGCTCTAGGCTTCGATGGTGTAGCTAGTGCAGAGCAGGTAGTGGAAGAGATGCAGAAATACTACAACAACTTCTAGGCAATGGGTCCGATGCGAACGTGCTCACGACGACTGGCTCCAAGAAGTACGGCGTCATCGAGTTTCCCTCCGTACAGTCCAAGGCCAATTTCTGGAAGAATGTACAAGGTGCTTTGACTTTAAACGAACAAGCTTTTGGTAAAGTATTTTCCAAGAGCAATCTCACGATGGAGGAACAGAGTGAAGAAAAGCGATTGGGATATACGAAACATCTTCTCCAACAACACCCGGAACATTCAAAGCGGGATATAATAATAATTTGGGCGAAAAGTATGATAGTGATAAAGGACGAGGCAGGGAAGGAAAAGAAGATAGCATGGTACGACAGAAGGAGAGTGGCACGCCACAGCTACAGGGAGGGCAGTGGAGAAGACGGTGGAGGAGGCCATGCAGAAGTGGCACAACACGGTCAAGCTGGAGCCGGACACCGAGAGCGAGTGACGCCGCGGCAGTGCCTACGGAAGGGCACTAACTGATAACAGTACCAGTACAAACATTACGTATACAATTTAAAGGTCAAGCAAATCAATACCATCAGCCTCCCAAGCAGTTTCTGCGACAGGGGGCGGCAGGGGCAAATATTTACATGTTCCTGGGGATGTGCCATGTTGTTTCCGACGTGTTGCTGACGATTCTCTGGGCATCTGCGCAGGAGCATCGACCGCGACACATTCGAGGTCTTGCAAAACAATGGCTTCGACACCACAGCACTCCGACTCCAGAGCTGTCCAGGCTGGGCCGCCAGAGCACGGTGCAATGCGACATGCTCTCCAAGACCCTCCGGAATGCCAGGAAGCGTAAGCTACATGCCGTCACCGGGGCAGGCTGCAACGCAGATATTGGTCCAGCTTCTGATTGCGACAACAGGCGGGCATGCGGAAAGCACGCGTATGGGAAGGAGAAACCCCGGGGACGGTGGTTGAAGCAATGGGCGAACGGCGAAAGCCTTGTGATTACGAATGCAATGTTTCAAAACAAGTGAGTGCTATTTATATACCTACCACCACGCACGGCATGGACTCAAACAGCTGGACTACATCATCGCATTAAGGGCCTTGTGGCGTACGACGACCGACTGCTGCACAACAGCGGTATTGGATTTGGGATCCGACCATGTGGCTGTGAAGTTGAGCAGCTTTATACTGAAACGACCTTCCGGATCCATCAACAAGAAGATGGAATCGTCAACACGTACCGCTGCAAAGGTACGACCTTGGCCGCCACAGTCGATTTCTTCTTATGTGGATGTTTTAGAGCAGTCCGCCATCGCGTCTGATTTTGAGGCCGGCGACGTGGACGACAAAGCCTCCAAGATCGAAGCCTCCATCCGGGAAGCCATGGAGGCGGTTGGCCACGAACCACAGAGACGTTCCAATGATGCTCCAGCTGAGGATGCAGTTCTTGCCAGACTTCTGGGACGCCGCGGGGCAATACCAAAAAGCAATGCCCGGGAACGAAAAGACGTTAGCAACATTATCAAGAATCACATATCCAGCACAGAGCAAGCTAAGTGTTCAGCTCAGATGTCGCGCATTCTCGAAGATTTCACTGGGCTACAGAAGATAACCAACATCAGAAGTTGCAACAAACGGGTGCAGCTTACATCGATGCAGAACCGAAGCGGCAAAGTGACCTACGATAGGCGCGAGATGGCGGATGTATTTGCAGATTGTTTGAGGCGTTGTCCGCATGCAACGGCGATGTTTCACCACTGGACACACGGCGACAAGCCGAGACGAGCGAGCATGACGACATAGCGATCCGACAAATGGTGATGGAAGAGCTGGGCACACGGTTGCAGCAGCTCAAGACTGGCAAGGCCGCGGGCACCGCAGGAATTTCAGCGGAGATACTAAAGAAAGGCGGCCTCGCCTTGAATATTGCACTCCTGAGTCTTTACGAAGATGCCATCAAGCCCAGAGCTACCGCGCCATCAGCTTGGAAGAAGACGAACTTGAAGGTTATGCTCAAGTCTGGGGACTCGCAGTTGCCAGGGAGCTACCGGCCTATCTCCATCATCCCGCTGATGTACAAGCTTTTCTCCCGCATGCTTTATGATCGGCTCGAACCTTTTTCTGGAACGTCACCAACCACCAGAACAGGCTGGCTTCTGGAGGCATTACAGTGCGGATGATATTCTGCTCTTGCTGGTTATGCTACAGGAGAAAGCATCGGGATGGCAAGTCCTTGCGTGGACCAAAAAGGTTTCGATCCAGTATCTCACAAATCCACGTGGGCAGCCATGTCATCGCATGGCGCCCCTGCACCTTACATCGCTCTTATGTCCAACTTGTACAGCGGACAGACAGCCTTTGTGGTTACATATGTAGAAGGCGAAGTTTTCGATATAGATTGCGGGGCCAAACAGGGGGACCCGGTCAGCTCTCTTTCCTTCAGCTGCTTGTCCGAGGAGATATTCAAAGAGAGCCAGACAAACATGGGAAAACGTCCATACGGTATGCGATGGTGTTTATTCGACAAAGCACGCTTGACGAACTTGAGGTTCGCTGATGATGTGATATTGGTTGGGGCGTCTTTGACACAAGTACGCAGGATGCTGGGAGACGTTACGGATGCATCCAGACGGACAGGCCTTGAATTACACCGAAGAAGACGAACATGTTGCACAGCATGAAAGCCCGGCGGCCGAAGAAAAACCCAGAGCACACCAGGGTTGGGAATTGCGACGTTGAAATGTTGGCGTGCGCAACAAACACAAGTATTTCGGTCGACCGTTTACGTCTGGCAACCAGATAAAGGTGGAAAACCGACGCACGTATTCAAGCCGCCTGGAAGAAGTTTGGGTTGTTCAAGCAGGAAGTGCTGTCGGTCATATCCACTGCGCGACAGATTCCGACTTTTTTACCGGCGTCGTGACACATACAATCTTGTACGGATGTGCATCATGGACAATGACAGCTGCTCTGGAACAGCTTGTGGTGGCAACTCAACGCCGGATGCTACGGATGATCCTAGGTTCACCACGGAGACGAATGACCAATACCAGCGACAGCAGCACGAACGGCAACGGATTCGGCTTGGAATCTTGGGTGGGCTTGGATCCGACGCACCACGCACAGTTCAGAGCAGGCGTTCGCAACTTTGGGTTTTGAGCAGTGGTTTGACATCCAGAAACGCAGGAAATTGGAATGGGTTCAGAAGATCTCCAATTGCAGCCTGGACCGAAGGAGTTACAACGCGTATCGCTGGGACGCGCAAGTTTGCCAACTCGCAACACGGCGTCCGCGTCCACACGGGCCTCGAAAACGATGGGTTGATGCAATATGAAGGGCTACGGCCCCGCCGCCGACCTCTGTAGGAGGCGCTCCGGGCGCGCGCGCGGAGCGGCATCGGCGCTCGCCTCGCCTCGCCTCGCCTCGCCTCTGTCTCTCTCTCTCTCTCTCTTTCTCTTTTCGCTCTGTCTCTGTCTCTTTGTCTCTCCTCTCGCTTTCTCTCTCTCTCTCTCTCTCCCTCTCTCTCTCTCTCTCTCTCCTCTCGCTATATTTATCTTTCTCTCTCTCTCTCTCTCCCTTTCTTTGTTTATTTCTCTCTCTCTCTCTCTTTCTCTCCCTCTCTCCACACATATATTCATATGTAATATATACATGTATATATCATACACTATCTCTTTCTATATTTATTTATTTCTCTCTCTCTCTCTCTGTGTCTCTCGCTCTCTCTCCTTCTCTCTTTTACTTGCTCCTCCTCATCATCATCACCGTCCTCCTTCTCCTCCTCCCCCTCCTCCTCCTCCTCCTCCTCCTCCTCCTCCTCCTCCTCCTCCTCCTCCCCCCGCATCCAATTCTCACGGCGCCGCTCCCCATCGGGTCGGCTAGCCACCCCTACGGCACATGGGGACATGCCGTCGTCGATTCCGCGAGATGAACTGCATCGTTTTTCTCGCACACGCGTGTGCATGTATACACGCAGTCTCTGGGCGGCCGCGATGCCGCCCCGCGCCCAGTGCCAAGGTGATGCAGCTCTGGCTGGCCGCCCCGGCCGCTCCAAGGCGATGCACCTCGCTTTGTGAGTGCCCTCCGCTCCCCCCCTTTTCCCTCCACCGCGGCCGCCCGCCCGTGCCCTTCGCCCCCCTTTAGCTGCCGGACAAGTAGCGCCTGCCGTTTCCCAGCCCGCTGGAGCGCGCGTGCGGGTTGCCTCTGCCGCATTGCGACGTGAAGAACAGTGTGCGCACGCAGAACACACCTCACCCAGCGCTCGATGAACGCAGTCTTCTCTTGCGGCGTCTGGTCAATGCCAGCCTTCACTGGTCAGCCAGGTCACCTTGGCGGGTCCGATCGATTCTTGGCCCGAGTTGGTTGTGATTTGTTGTGTTCGGTTTGTGTGCTGACCCACCACGCCAGAAGCCACAGGGGAAATATTCACGGCTAGTTTGTGTAGTCTGCTGCCCAGGAAGGCTACAAGGCCGAAGTCTTGATCACCCTTTTCTGTCATGCTTTCTTTGGTGGCGTTGCTTGGGCACCGCGCCGACCCCATGCGCAGGCGGCGCAGTCATGGCAGTCTACGCTGTTACGTGGTGAAACATCATAACAGATTGGGGCGCGCTGCGTGATGAATCCATTGAGCATATATTTGTGTATGCGTGGTTCGTGACGTTTTGTATACCCTTATGTATACAGCTTTGTCGGAAAGTGCACGCGCGCCTTGTGTGACACCGTAGTTGATCTCACGAATGCGGCGGGATCGCCCTTGCCCGCAGTGCGGGTATGCCTGTCTGATGGATGCCAGGCTTTTCTATTCTGCATCATCTGATTCTTCCTCAAATGTGCACGCCCTGTTATGTTGCATTTGGGTGTTCCGGGGCGTGGCAGCGTCTGCCTCATTTCGTTTTTTGGGCCCAGTGTACGACCAAACGCTTACTGTTCCGTGCCAGCGATGGGTCACCAACCTCAGCGCAGCAGTTTGCCTGTGCAGAGGTGATGGCTCAGCAGCTCAGCGACATGCTACCAGGGCATCTGAAGTTCATCAGTTAGGGACCTGGCAGTTTTCATCGAGTCACCGCCCGGGGTACCTACCAGGTGGCTCATCCAACCAGCGAGCGAGGAGGAAAGACATAAAACGAACATGGCTGTTCAACCCCTGCACGCCCCCCCGTCATCTGAAGAAGGCAACTGGGATCGGCCGCGACTGCTCCATAGTTTCCCCATGCCCAGACTCACTCTCATATCATTTGTCGTATTTCGTTTGCAATCACAGGAGAACATGATTCAAGGGCAAGCATGTGCACCCTCAAGAGGCCAGCCCCACTCGTCACCGTGGTTCCTTTTTAGCTTTATTTCCGAAGTCTGCCGGGGCAGCGCAGGACTTCTCGTGTGCTGTGCTTATTGCCCTCCCGCCGCGCTCTCTGGATGACCGCCGCTGCCAGGGGACCACCTGCCGCCACTGCCCTCCGCACCGAGCTCCACGTCCAACTCCGAGGAGGC